GGCAGAAGGTTAATCACTTCCCTGTGCACTACTACTAGCAATGAACAAATGGAATTTTAACTTTAAAACACAGTATCATTTTTTAAAAAAAGAATAAAACACAGCCCTAGCTGGTTTGGCTCAGTGGATAGAGCGTCAGCCTACAGACTTAAAGGTTTTGGGTTCAATTTCAGTCAAGGGCCTATGCCCAGGTTGAGGGCTTGATCCCCAGTAGGGGGGGTGCAGGAGGTAGCCAATCAATGATTCTCTCTCATCATTTATGTTTTCATCTCTCTCTCTCCCTCTCATTATCTCTCTGAAATCAATAAAGAAAATATTTTTTAAAGAATATGAGAAGATTACTTAGGTTTATATGCAAATCCTACACCTTTTTACATAGGGACTTCAACATCCATGGATTTTGGTATCTTGGGTATGGGGGAGGGGTCCTAGGACCAATTCCCCAAGGATACGTGCAGGGCCAGGGAACCTGCAACCAAGGTATGTGCCTTTGAACACACACTGACCACCAGGGGGCAGACACTCAATGCAGGAGCCCGGGACCCTTCAGTCCACAGGCCAACGCTCTACCCACTGAGCCAAACTGGCTAGGTCAGTGATGGCGAACCTTTTGAGCTCGATGTGTCAGCATTTTGAAAAACCCTAACTTAACTCTGGTGCCGTGTCGCATATAGAAATTTTTTGATATTTGCAACCATAGTAAAACAAAGACTTATATTTTTGATATTTATTTTATATATTTAAATGCCATTTAACAAAGAAAAATCAACCAAAAAAAATGAGTTCGTGTGTCACCTCTGACACGCGTGTCAATAATCAACTAGGACAGTGACGGCGAACCTTTTGAGCTCGGCGTGTCAGCATTTTGAAAAACCCTAACTTAACTCTCTGGTGCCGTCTCATATAGAAATTTTTTGATATTTGCAACCATAGTAAAACAAAGACTTATATTTTTGATATTTATTTTATATATTTAACAAAGAAAAATCAACCAAAATAATGAGTTCGCGTGTCACCTCTGACACGCGTGTCATAGGTTCGCCATCACTGGGCTAGGGCAAACTAAACATATTCTTAACATATAATTCAGCAATCACATGCCTTTGTTCAGAGTTTTATAGAATTTCTCAACTTCTGTCAATCTGATGGATTATAAAAATCTCAGACCAAAAAAATCATAAGCCACCTGAGTGTGCATCCACAAGAAACTGGTTAAATCCATCAGAGGACAGCTAGCCAATGGGATACCTAATACTGTATTCATAAAAAGGAACAAGGAAGTTCTTTTACGTGTGTGTGCGCATGCACGCGCACCTTAAATTTACTTTATTCCAAAATATATTTTATCTAATTTTAAATTTACATAAAGTCTATGTGAATTGAAAATACTCCTTAGGGTTGGTTTTATAAGGTGGGGGAGGTTTCATAAATTAAACCTCAGGGAGGAAAACAGTCTTTGAAATTGTGTCTATCTTACATTTATAACACAGTTCAATCACTAAATTGACAATGGTTCAGCACTAGGGTCTGTGATTTTGATCCCCTGGGGAGCCAGAAGCAGCTACATTGGCAGAGGGAGAAAGCAGAAGGTCCTTGGGTCCAGATCCTACAAGAACTAGGGGTTTGTCAGCTTTGTTGTGGTTGAAACCAAGGAAAGCAGCTCAGCTCAGCTTCCACTGGCGCTCAGGTGGCAGCCACACAGTATCCCGGGGTGGGGGGTGGAGGGGACCTCCTGGCCTGGCCAGGTGCTGGCACCAGGTCGGCCAGGCTGGGTAGGGGCAGGGTGGAGATCTCTCAAATGAAGTTATTTCTTCACTGATGTGGAAAGATCCCTAAAATATACTCATTAAAACATTTGTTTTAGCCCGGCCAGAGGTCTCTGTTGATTGAGCATCGTCCCATGCACTGAAAGATTGTCGATTGGATTCCCAATCAGGGCACATACCTGGATTGCTGGTTCAATCCGGTCAAAGTGTGTGTGGAAGGCAAGCAATGGATGTTTCTCTCATGTCAATGTTTATCTCCTTCTCTCTCTCTCTCTCTCTCTCTCTCTCTCCCTCCCTCCTTCTTTCTTTCTTTCTCTCCCTGCCTCTCTCTCTCTAAGCATGCCCTTAGATGAGGATTTTAAAAACAATTAAGGTGCAAAAGAGGTCTATAAAGTATGCCTCAATTTATGTATGTACTGGTAAATTCATAAAATACCTCTGTACGGATACAAAAGAAACTAAAAACATGTGTTGCCCCTCTAGAGGGAAATAGGGTAGTTGGAGGGCAGGGGTGCTAAAGAGACTTTTGTTTCGTTTTAAAAAAGCTTTTATATCTATTGAATTTGAATCTTGAGAATATAAATAAAATATAATCCCTGTGCTCTCCTTAACTTTACTGTTCAAAGAAATCAGAATAAATAGCATAACTCAAAGCACAGCAAAGCATTTTGCTTTCTCTTCAAACAGACTTCCCCATGGAGACCCGAGGGCAGGGTGGGGGTCAGCCAGGGGCGATCGCAGTGGTCACTGCTCTGAGGACGGCTGAGTCGCCTGGACTCAATCTGATCCAGGCTTCCCATGTGTGCAGGAGGGCCTGGCTCCTGTTCCCGCAGTGAACGCAGGCATTCACCAGGCGTAGGTTACATTTCTTTCCAGTCTTTCACTGAACTTAACCATCTCTTTCCATGAGAGCACTTCAGTCTTTCTTCAGTCCAGGGAGCTTTTCTTGCTTTCCTCCAGGGTCTCTCTCCTCCCCCTCTCCCCCTCCCTCTCCTACACCCTCACCAGCACGTTGGCTCTTCTGCTCTCTCCTGTGCTGTTTGCTGCCCTTCAGCTTCAGCTCTCCCCGCCGATGTTAAAGCCTTCATGGAGGATTTGGTTTGGAAATCCTCTTTTTCACCCCCAACGATTTTCTCTGTTCACAGATTATTTCCTCTTTCCAACCAACTGCAGTCTTTCTTCTTCTTCTTCTTTTTTTAATCACTACAACGTCTCTCCAACATCACTGAGAATACCAAGTAGTGCCCTGGCAAGCGGGGCTCAGTTGGTTGAGCGTTGCCCATGTACCAGGGGGTCCCAGGTTGGAATCTCAGGGCACATGCCCAGGTTGTGGGCTCTGTTCCCAGTAGAAGGCAGCTGATTGATGGTTCTCTCTTATTGATGTTTCTTTCTCCCTCTCCCTTCCTCTCTCTAAATTCAATTAAAAATATATATTTTAAAAAGAATACCAAGTAGTGTTGTTAGGTCTTTATGTTTTTATCTTATTATTGCTATTCTAGGTTTTCTGTGGCTGCTGGTGCTGTTTAATGGATAGGGAGGGCTCCTTCATGACTTAGGAATGTCACCATGGGGATACTTAGAGGCTCAGCCGGAGACCCCAGAGACTGGGTTGGGTCAGGGTAGCTGCTTTAAAACACTGTCCCCCACCACCCACCCCCTTCCCAGGACAATCCTGTTTCCCCAGCGATTCCAGTGGGAAGCCCCTAGCCGGCAGCGGCTTCGAAGCCTTTGTCCACTAGGTGTGCCTCAAGCCGGGCCCTGGGCACAGAGCTCCCCTGGGGGTCCTAGCGAAGCCAGGAGAGTCTGTCACGGGTACTCTCTCGCGTGCTCTTACCCTCCCCGTGTGTGGGGAACAAGCCGCCACCCCTCCCCAAGGGCAGTTCTAACCTTGGAGAGGGGCTCCTGGTCGCCCCAGAACGTCTTTTCAGGAGCTGGGTGCTGCTGGGGCACGTCCAGTTCCATGGCCAGCGGGTTGAAGGAGGACAGCGTTTGGCTCCGCCGGACCTCCGAGATCAGCCTCTGGAAGCGGCCAACAGCCCTGATCAAGGTCACCCAAGGCAGCTTTCTGCGTCCCCGTACGCCCTCCAGGGGCGGCTGCACACTTCTTTGCTGGGGCGCTGTCTTCCCATCCTTGCCCCCGTATTTTAGGGAGCTTGTCCGCTTGTTCAGGTATTTTAGGGAGCTTGCCATCTCACCCTTGTCCGAGTATTTTGGGGAACTGGTAGGGCGCGGTGGCTGGGAGGCCATCTTAGAGCAGTGTCTGCCAGTGGCCAGCACCGAGCCTGGCTGAAAACGGTGGCCTCGCGTGCCCGCGCCCTGCGCCCCTGCGCCCCTGCGCCCGTGCCCCGACGCGCCGCCCCTCCCCCAGAGGCCCGGCAATCTCGCTGCTTCCTCTCCTTGGAGAACAGGGGCTTCGAATTCTGGACAAAGGCCCCAGGTCACGAGTGAGTAACCTGCGCCCCATCCTCAAGACCTTACTTGTCTTCCTGCTCCCTCTCCCAGGACTATCTGTGTGTCCTCGGCCTCCCTGGAGGCTCTCAGTCAACCCACTTTATGTCAACAACAGAGAAATGGTCATTAAGTAAAAGACTAGGTTCTGGATGAATTAAGAGGTAGTAATTAGGGGCGGGGTACACACAATATGTAGAGCACGAGGGAAATACCTGTCACAGTGCCAATGAAAATAACAGAACAAGTGTCAAGTGCTACTCGGGTGGTAGTCCTACCATTAGAATAAGACTATGGGTATTACACAATATCCAGGGTTGCCATCTCTGGGTGGGCAGAAGTGCTTTTCTTTCCTTTCTCCTTTAAAAATTGTTCTGATTTTTCTATGATATTATTTTGATAATATTAGAAAACTCTAATTTCTGTTTATCAAAGGTCTCATCAGTGCAGAGGAGGCAGCCTCAGAGAAGGGGCCCGGGGGTGGGCCCATACTTTCTGACTCTTGGTCTTGGTGCCTCAGATACATTGGTGACTTCTACCCTGAGAGGCTGAGGATCCTGGCACTGTTCCACCCATGGATTCCTGGCTGCCATCAACCACCAGAGAGAGGAGCCAGACAGCGGGAAACACTGCAGGAGGGCAAAGGAACCCACCACCTCCCCCTACCCAGTCCTAGATCAGTTCAGCTGTCCTTGTCTGGATTTGGCTTTCTTCATAACAAAATGAGAGAATAGTCTTTACTTTTCATTCTTTTTTTAGAGTTTTAAGAGATAAAAAATCAAGAAGGAAATAGAAAAATCCATTTTAATTAAACTGTACAGTCTGAATTTTTTCCTTGACACTAACTGAAGTTAAAAATAGAAGCCAATTTCTGTGACCTTCCAAGGCAGCCTTTGAAATGTCAAGGTTTTAAAAATTATTTTACAGCATGAATTTACATATAAATACAATCTGTACAATGTATTAACTGAGCAATCAATGGACTTCCATCATGGAGGAGATCTGGTTTCGGAACAGGCCAGGGCAGAATTCAACTACTGCCTCCTTAGGGGAAGATGTTTTAACCTGGAAACAGAAGTAACAGAGAGAAGGAAGTTAGATATGAACTGAAAGGCCAAACAGCTCAATTTTATTAATGCTTCACTATGCTATGACACTGGGATGCAGGGTTTCTTTTTCATCACTGCTAATTTACTCACCCTGACTAAGACTGGCTATACACTTGGAGAAAGTTAAATGGTTACACTGTTCTGTTTGAAATTTAAAAAAAAACAACACTACAAAAGCATGAAAACAGTTTACATATATATAAAAATCTTGAGTTAGGGAAGGCCTTTAAACGACAAAAATGAAAAACATACCAAAAAATTGGTTAAATGAGTGCATCAAAAATTAAAGCTTCTGCACAACAAAGATAGTTAAAATTATGACAGGTAATACACTTAAACACAAAGGATTAATATCCAAAATTATTATTTTTTAATTACTAAAAACTAGTAAAACAATCTCATAGGAAACAGAACATTGTAAGTACATGAGCAAGCTATTCACAAAAGAGCACATGGCAAACGCTGAGAAACACAGGAAAGGATGCCCAACCTCGTTAGTAATCCAGGAAGTGAAATTAAAATGAGATGCCAGTCTTTACTCATCACACTGGCAAACAATTCTGTACCATTTACACTTGATGTAATAACAAGGTGCTTTCATAATCTAAACTGATACAGCCACATTTGGAAATAATCAGGCAGTATTTATTCATTCTAAATGTTCACACTCTATGCTACATGAAATTATATTCTTTATATTAAAAATGCAGCCCTAGCTGGTTTGGGTCAGTGGATAGAGCATCGGCCTGCAGACTGAAGGGTCCCAGGTTTGATTCCAGTCAAGGGCACATGCCGGGTTATTGGTTGGATCACCAGTGGGGGGCATGCAGGAGGCAGGCGATCAATGATTCTCTCTCATCATTGATATTTCTATCTCTCTCTCCCTCGCCCTTTCTCTCTGAAATCAATACAAATATATTTTTTTAAAAAACAGAACATAACAAAATGTATATGTACACATTACCAGTGTATAGTTAAGCAAAAAAGAATCTTGTAAGTTATGTGTGAAACTAACAGCAGAGGTTACTGTAGAAAGAGCAGTTTGGGGAATTGGTCAAGGGCCACTTTAAGATTTATCTGTAAGGTATGAATTTTCACAATGATAACATATTCACATATTACATATGTAATTAAAAATTAACCTTTCAACAAGCCTATTTAATATGCAAGTTTATCATTTCTGATGTCTGCCTCTAAGCAAATACATCAAGATTTTAATAAACCTTTGAGAGGTTCCTGAAAACCACTGTCTTCCATTGCCTACCGTTTTAGCAGTTCCTGGGGTGACATGTCTGCGGTGTCTTCTTCACTCTGGCTGTCACTGCTGTCAGCACTCTCAGAACTACTACTTTTTTCTGACTTCTTATTCTTTTGCTTGCCTTTGTGTTTGTGCTTCCGATGTTTCTTTTTCTTAAAAAAAAAAAAAAGTTGCTGGAATACACAAGCACACACACTCACACAGGTGTTTCCCTTCCTAATTCAGTATATGACAGGCTAATGAGGCATTTGATTGCTGGAGTCATTCAAAAACAAAAGCAAAACCTCATTTGGGGTGAACTTTAGCCTAGTGTGAAACAGGCCAGGAGCATTCAGCTCTGCACACTGTCCACAGGGCCCCACTCACAGAACTGGCCCTCTAGCGACAGGCACAGCAGAACCAGGCAGATGCAGGCAGGATGCTGCCTTGACTCTTAGTGCCCCTCTTATCCAACGTGACCCCTGCCTCTTCCCATACACTGACTGGCCATTCTGTTAGGCATATGTGATAAACTACACATCAGGATGCGAACACCCTGGAAATGCACAAAGTAGAAACTGGTAAGAGAACAGCAGACACACTGGTAAGAAACCAATTAATTTGGTTTTTGAACCTCTCGGCACCAACTTTTTCCTTTCACTACAAGTGAACTTTCCTCATCTTCTATGTTCAGGAACCCTTTTTTTCTGATAATCAATCAGGGAACTGTTTTTAATAAATTCCACTACTGCCCAGACCACTTTGGGTACCCAACACTAATATTAACTGAATTAAAAGCCAGTGTTGCCCTGGCTGGTTGAGCAACAACGGTTAGAGCTACAACCTGCACACAGGAGGGTCACAGGTTCAATTCCTGGTCAAGAGCACGTACCTGGGTTGCAGGTTTGATCCCCAGCCCCAGTCATGTGGGAGGCAATCAATCGATGTGTCTTTCTCACATTGATGTTTCTGTCTTTCTTCCTCTCTCTCTCTCTCTCTCTCCTTCACTTCCACTCTCTAAAAAGCCATGCAAAAATTTCCTCAGGAGAGGATTCACACAAAAATAAAAATTAAAAAAGCCTGTGCCTAACTAAAAAGAAGACTTGGCCCTAGCTGATTTGGCTCAGTGGAGAGAGTGTCAGATTGAGGACTGAAGGGTCCCTGGTTCGATTCCCTGTCAGGGCATATACCTGGGTTGCGGGCTCAATCCCCAGGAGGGGTCGTTCAGGAGGCATCCAATCAATAATTCTCTCTCATCATTGATGTTTCTATCTCTCTCTCTCTCTTCCTCTTTGAAATCAATAAAAATATATTTTTTAAAAAAGAAGAAGACATGGACCATGAGGTAAGGGATGTCAACAGTGAACACATACATTATACATTCAGGTTTTCTTTATTTCAAATACTAAACTATGGACCGACATCTTTATGTAATGAGAAATGTCCAAAATAACACCTTCATTTAATACTGAGTGAGTGATCAAATAAAATTTTTATTATTTAATACTCAACCATTATTCTAAGATACTTAAATGTCCTTTTTCCTAATTTTGAATAATCACAAATAAAAACTTTTTTAAGTACAACTGAACAAATTAAAATATTCCATTTGAAAGAAAAACAAAGTTTCTGAAAATCGAGGGTTTACAAAGAATGTCTAGTCCACACTTCTGTCAAGCTGTCTAAAAACCCATGTGCCCCCATTTTGGCCACAAGAGACCCTTCAGCAGGCTTCATGGGGGCTTGTCTGGATGACGGAAGCAGGAGTGACAAACCCCACACACTGAGCCCAGGGCACCCAGAAGTCACTTACCTTCTCTTTCTTCCGTCTGTGCTCTTTCTTGGTCTTGTGTTTTTCTTTGTTCTTTTTATGTTTCTCTTTTTGAGGAGCCTCAAGTTTCTGACGAGCATCTGAAACACAAATGCAATAAACACAGGAACTACAGGGGGAAATAAAGCTAAATTCTTGAATTAGGAATATACCTTAGATGGGATGATTAACATTAAGGCAGAACTCCTGCCCTGCCTCACTGATATACAAATAGATTAGCATATCACGTGTTAGCTCTATTTAGGGAGTTCCAAAAGATGTATACACACTGTTTGAATAATTATAAAGGCAGAGTTTATTAAAATACATCTGATTTTCAAAATTGAGCTATCAGCTGTTACAGTGTGTATACATTTTTGGGGGGGAACCTGCATTTAAAAACTGCCAGAAACATCAACATAAGTCCTGTCTGATCCAATGAGCATCTTGGCAGATGAAGACAAAGTCGGGCTAGAATGCCCATAAGCTTTTGTAATTAACATCCTAGAGTAAGCTCAGAGTCTGAACCTCAGCTGTGTCGCCAGCTCTGTGATCGATGTTGGGCACCTTGCTTAACCTCTCCAAGTCTCAGCTTCCCCTTCCATAAAACTGGGATAAGAAGAATCCCTACCTCCTTAGGGACATAGAGAGGATCAGATGGGACTTCAAACAGGAATCCCATAGCCTGGTATCTGGCATATAAGCTCCTCTCATATCACTCTCCCTTCACAAAAGCACATTCAACATGAATTCGTCTTATAAGTAGAAACACTAAAACACTAGCATCAGAGCAACACAATATATGTAATCATTAAAATTACAAGTTGCAGGCACCTAAATTCTCCACCTCCAAATTCTGACCAAAATGTTTTCATAGGTCATTAATTTCCTGGTACCTAAACCTGCAAAAATTCATAATAGTAGAAGCAGTTTAAATTATTAAATCATCTTTTTCCACCTAAAGAAAGTTCCAAGTGTTTCAGGTATGGATATTTTCCAAACCCATTAACAGGTGTCTGCAATTTTCTATTCCTATAGTTTGGTCATATTTTTCAAAAACTGACCTCCCCAACCTTTATTTTTTTAATTAAAAATTATTTTTATTGTTGACAGTATTACAGATTCTCCACCTTCCCTTCCCCCAATTTTGCCCCATCCACTCAGCCCCTCCTCACTCCCCAGCCTTTCACCACTCTATTGTCTGTGACCATGGGCTATGCATATAAATACATGAGTTCTCTGGTTTATCTGTTCTCATTCCCCACCACCATCCAACGTATGTCAGTTTGTTCCATGCCTCCACACCCTGGGACTTATTTTGTTGGTCGATTTATTTTGTTCATTAGATTTCACATGTTAAGAGATCATGTATAGTTGTCTTTCTCCGACTGGCTTATTTTGCTTAGCATAATACTCTCCAGCCCAGCCGGTGTGGTTCAGTGGTTAAGCACCAACCCATGAACCAGGAGGTCACAGTTCAATTACCAGTCAGGGCACATGCTGGGGTTGCAGGCTCAATCCCCAGTAGGGGGCATGCAAGAGGCAGCCAATCAATGATTCTCTCTCATCATTGATGTTGCTGTCTCTCTCTCCCTCTCCCTTCCACTCTCTGAAATAAATAAAAAAAGACTCGCCAGGTCCATGCAGGCTGTCTCAAAGGGTAAGAGATCCTTCTTTTTCACAGCTGCATAGTATTCCATTGTGTACATGTACCACAGTTTTTTAATTCATTCATCTACTGATGGGCATTTGGGCTGTTTCCAAATCTTAGCTATTGTAAACAATGCTGCTGTGAACATAGGAGTGCATATATCCTTTCTGATTGGTATTTCAGGGGTTTTAAGATATATTCCCAGAAGTGGGATCACTGGGTCAAATGGCAGTTTCATTTTTAATTTTTTGAGGAACTCCATACTATTTTTCAAGTGGCTGCACCGTCTGCATTCTCACCAGCAGTGTACAAGGGTTCCCTTCTCTCCACATCCTTGCCGGCATTTATTGTTTGTGAGGTGATATGTCGTTGTTGTTGTTGTTGTTGTTTTTAAATATATTTTTATTGATTTCAGGGAGGAAGGGAGAGGGAGAGATAGAAACATCAATGAGAGAGACACACACTGATGGGCTGCCTCCTGCTGGGGATCGAGCCTGAAACCTGGGCATGTGACCTGACCGTGAGTCAAACTCAGGACCTCTTGGTCCCTGGGGCTATGCTCAATACACTGAGCCACACCAGTCCAGCTCACTGTGGTTTTAATAACCTTTTTTTAAATGCTATTTTTTTGTATATATATTTTATTGATTTTTTTACAGAGAGGAAGGGAGAGAGATAGAGAGTCAGAAACATCGATGAGAGAGAAACATCGACCAAGCTGCCTCCTGCACATCTCCTATTGGGGATGTGCCCGCAACCCAGGTACATGCCCTTGACCGGAATCGAACCCGGGACCTTTCAGTCCGCAGGCCGACGCTCTATCCACTGAGCCAAACCGGTTTTGGCTTTAAATGCTATTTTTTGAAAAACCATTTTCCCTCAATAACCCACAGACTAAATTAAGTTATTAACTATTCTAAGGATATCAAGGACGATCTGAGAAACGGGCATAAATAACTTAGCTTTTAACAGCTAACACACACATTTTGTTTTTTTTTTAGCTAGCACACTTTAAGGCAGGGGGCCTCAAACTTTTTAAACAGGGGGCCAGTTCACTGTCCCTTAGACCGTTGGAGGGCCGGACTATAGTTTAAAAAAAAACTATGAACAAATTCCTATGCACACTGCACATACCTTACTTTGAAGTAAAAAAACAAAATGGGAACAAATACAATATTTATATTTGTATGTGGCCCGCAGGCCGTAGTTTGAGGACCCCTGCTTTAAGCTAAAGATCTGAGTAACTGAAGCAAATAATACATTCATTGCAACTTTTCAAAACTTCACACTTTTTACCCCTCTCTGCTTCTTATCATCTCTTTAAAGGCTGAATTAACTAAAACAATATTTATATGTGAGTGCTATAGGAAACTATAGAGTAGATAACAATTATTTATTATTCATATACCTGGGGCACGTTATCCAGGTTTTTTAACCCAGTTTTCAGAGAAATGATAAACCAGTCCAAACATTTAAACACGAGAGATCAATTTAAGATGGCCCTGAACAGAAGTCATTAACAGCTACTGGAAGAGGAAGATGGGCTGTATTTACTTCTGAAAGAATTAATTTTTATTTGCTACATTAGCCAAAGTATAAAAAAGTCTCAGAATACCCTACTCCCTGCAATTCCCTTCTCATCTTTGTGTCCTAGACTTTTACTTTTTTATTTCTATAAGTGACAACATTTGAAATATCTGAAAGTTAAAAAAAAGAAAGGAAAGCTTCAAGGACTCTGAGGCTGTAACACAACAACCATCATTTAGGTACTAGGTGGAGCTGAGAACAGATAAATCAGCAACAAATGTATGTATTTGGTTGGCCGCATGTTGGATTAAATGGGTGGATATAACACAGTTAGAGCTGTCCCATTTCAGGGGACACTCTGGTGCCAGTGCAAACAGGTGAACCAAGGAGCTCTGGACTCACTGGGGCAGAAGACAGGAGGCAGCCGAGGGCCGAACTCTTCTCTTTCGTCTATCTGCATCTTCTGTATCACGAAGGAAGGCGCGGGCTCCTGGGGGGCCGGCTCACTAGCTGAAAAACACCAGGGTATTAGCTTTATATATCTGTCAAATATGAATGTATTTGAGTCTTTAACTAATGTCTGTTGCCACCAGATAACATGTGCCTTCCTTCACCACTTGGCTTAACTAGCTCACACCAGGTGCTGAGGACACAGGTGTGGTGAACCATGGACCTAACCTCCAACCTCATGGGCTTTAGAGCTGGGAAGTCAGTCACACAAGGGCACAGGCAACCCAATGCATCAGTGTCTATAACACAGGGATATGTATGGCATCCCGACCACCTACTGCAAACTGAAGGGTTGAAACATATCCTCGAAGAAGGGTCATCAGAGAAAAATTAAATTTATAATCAGGGATGTAAGATTATGCCCCAGCTCAGAAAGTTTAATTTCACTCAAAATGAATTATCAAAGAGGAGAAAAACTGAATATAAACAAATGATCATGTTCACATAAGTAATCTCATTTTTTAAAACAGTGACTATGTTTTCAAATAGGAGAGATAAAAATAGAAAAAGTCTAGAAACATAAGCATCAGAAGTGTTCCGGATGGTTATCTCTGGGAACTTAAGCTTTCTATATATTTATATTTTTAAAATTCAAATATACATGAATTTGTAATAAAAATGTAAGTTGAGCCGAAACTGGTTTGGCTCAGTGGATAGAGCGTCGGCCTGTGGACTGAAAGGTCCCAGGTTTGATTCCGGTCAAGGGCATGTACCTTGTTTGCGGGCACATCCCCAGTAGGAGGTGTGCAGGAGGCAGCTGATCGATGTTTCTCTCTTATCGATGTTT